AGGCTACCTAGGGAGGTCACAGAGCCACTGTCCCAGCAGATCTTCAAGAACAGAGCAGATGTGGCACTGAGAGACATGGTTAGTGGGCATGGTGGGGATGAGCTGATGGTTGGACTTGATGGCCTTAGGTGTCTCATCCAACTGTAATAGTTCTATGACTTTCATGGTATTCCTCTGAGTATTTATACTTAGTTGCTTCCATGAGTAACTAAGCTGCAGTGTGAGGTCTCAGCAGTTGGCACTCCCTGGACAACCACTTAACTCCATCAGGAAATAACAAATGGTCACTGCGCAGTTTGAATCCAACAAAATGAGTAAGCAACGGATTGAGCCCTAAATACAACAAGAGATCAATGGTCCCCACTAAAATTTCACAAGATCTGGGAAAATTCAACATTTTCATCACTGCAACTGTTCTATCACGTTATTCTGACCGAATAAACAGTTGAAATGTACCTTCTTGCTCACAAACAACAACAAATGTGACATGAACTTTTTGTTTTTAACAGCTGCAGTGCCTAGAAGATCAAGAAAAAAGCATAATGTCTGTTCTCCTGCAGCACCACTATTCTTGTTAAGACATGATCACAGCTATTCTGGCCTCACTCACACTGCATCTTCCCTTTGGCAACCAGCAATCCTGTCTTTCACTTCCAACATCTTATTGCTTCATTTGGACTCATTCATGTAAATAGAAACCAGCTTGTTTGAAACTCATTAGTTTCATTTGCTGTGTTTTATGCTGCCATCTTCCCACACCAAGAGATGTCCACAAGACTGGAGAGGTTCAATGGAAAAGCAGAGAACAGAAAGACGGGAAATAGAGTGAGAATTTCCATCTTCTACTACAAATCTTATTGTATGGAGCAGCAACTCCGGAAAATTCAAAGGGAAAGTTATGGAAAACCTCTCTGGAGAAGTGGTTAACAACAGAATTTTCCTTAAATTCCTGCTCTGTGCAGAGAATGTACATTATCACTTGTAAAAATTCACACCAGCAAGTTTCAGCTTTAAAATCTAAAATGAACCCGTAAAAATTAACAATGCAGATGATGAGTAATAAAGTAGCAGAAAGTGATGGGATATGCATAGCCTCAAATCAGCCCTGCACTTCTTCTTGTCTGTAGGGGATCTATACTGCTGCTCATTAAATGATTGCCCTGAAGTATACAGTTTTGCTACTGTACAAAGCATGATTTATTAAGCAATGTTCCCTCACGTCTAACTCGACACTGCTTAAATACTACGTCCTGTTTTATGGCTGCAGTTTGGACTGTCAAATGGTGAAACTCTGAGGGCAACAATGAAAGCTTCAGATGTGCCCGTGATAAACGGTGGGACCCGAGGTCTCCAGTGATGGGCTCCTATGGCAGCTGGGAGTCTTGCTGCTACCAGAATATAAATAACCAGTTAGAAACAATAGTGCATTAACGGAGCTGAAAAAAGGATGCCATCGTCCAAGCCACATTTACTTTACAACTCTGCAAGCAGCGTTTTGTGGGGTTTTTAATGCCTGGTTTTAGGCTAACGCTGTGTATACTGTAGACAGGAATTTCAACAGCAGCAAAGCCTTTTTATTTCTGCAGCCCTCTGCATCTTTTTCTTTTACTACAGATCATTGTACTCCTGGCATTGAGACATAAAAGAAGTGTAAAACATCTATCTGTAAGAATATCCATAAGGCAAGGAGATGCACACAGGTTTTTTATTACAAGCTCTCAAAGAAACATCCTTTAAGAAATTAAAGGAGTAAAAGACAGAGAGAAAGAGAGAAGGGAAGGGAGTAGTGTGAAACATGTGGCTTTCTCTTTGGTCTTGGGGGACATCTTGATTTGAAGACCCAAGAAACAGCACTCCTTGTTTACTATGCTGGGCAAGTTTAGTGAATGCTGAGTCCATCATTAGAGCTTGAAAAAAAATACAATGGATTCCCAAGCCCAAAAAATGAAGGCACCTCTCCATTTGTCCTTGGAGACATTCAAGGCCAAGCTGGACGAGGCTCTGGGTAGTATGAACTGGTGGGTGGCAGCTATGGGGTGGGAAGTGGATGATCTTTAAGGTCCTTTTCAGTCTGAGGCCTTCTATGATTCTGATTTAAGAATGGGTGTTGTGAAATGGGGCCAGGTTCCTGGACTGCATGGGTGTAAATTCCACATCAGTATTAGCGACACATGAATTGCAAACATCCATTAATTCCAGCTCTTTAACTAAAATATTTCTCAAGTGTCCAGACCAGGCTACAGATAAGCTTTAGCTACCTTATGTCTGAAAGCAATCAGTTATCACAGAAACACAGAATCATAGAACGGCTTGGGTCAGAAGGGACCTTAAAGATCATCCAGTTCCCTTCCACACACTGGGTTGAGAGCTGACACTCAGATCAGGCTGCTCAGAGCCCCATCCAATCTGGACTCGAACATCTCCAGGGATGGGTGATCCACAACTGCTTTGGGCAACTGGTTCCAGTTAGTACAGATTAAAAACAAACAAACAAAAAAAAAAAACCCACAACTGCGACTGCACAAAGCTCTATCAAAAGCAAAGATGTGAAGTTATACCTGCGCTCTTCACTAGAGACAAATGCAGAGGAGACAAAGCTACATGCTGAAAATACAAAAGGAAGATCTCCCCAGATTTCAGACAGCCCAAACTATGGGGCTTAGGAAAGACATGAAAAGCACAAGCGATTTTGCCTGCCAAGCTTTAGATCAGGAGGAATCTCTCTTCGGGTAGTAATTGAGGTATAAATCTCTGAGAAAGGGATTTATCGCAGAGGTGCTGGGAGAGCCTTGTCTACCATATAATGCTACTTCTGCAGAGCTAAAGGCCACAGCACATCTGCCTTTGTTATATTTTAGAGCAAGCTCCAAGCATAGATGAGGCACTTTGAGTTACATGTCAATGTTATTACCAACTTTACAGGCTTTGATCACAGACCTTTCCTCTCATACAAACTGCACTGCACATTGTCAGACACTAAAATACTTCTGGGTAATTACAATGAACATACTGAAGGAATAAGTAATTCTGTATCGGGCAAAGATTAAGCTGTTCTGGTCGGTCTGGCTTCCTATATCTTCCCAGATCCAAAACACTGAGAGTTCAGCATCTTGCATAGGAAAGGAGGTGAACAGGCAGAACAGGCACAAGACTTCATCTCCAGTGGGATCTCTGCAAGAACCCCTTGTCCCAGCCCCTGTAGTACTCTCCTCTCTTACTATCATGTGCTTGACTAGGATTTGTAACTCCATTAACATCTTCCTGGCTGTTTTGCCCTGGAAAAGCCAAAATAAACTTGCATTAAGGGTTACAGCAAGATTTTCCCTTTTGGCTGGCACCATAAGGAACGGCACATCTTCCTTAGGCATTCATTCAGAAGCACAGATCTTAGAGCCTGGTGATGAGCTATAGGCCACGTGAATTGCCTTTGGTATTTTCATGGTTCTCCAAAAGAAATAAAAGAAACATATGGCATTTGTAGCCGATGGTGACCCAATAACCATTGATTTCATACGGAAAATGAAGTTCTTATATTGACTGCAGATTAAGCCAGCAGCTTCTAACAACACTGTGTTAGCTTGATGAGTAAAAATTAAAATATGTTGTGACAAGGATACGGCAGCTTTATGGCTTATCACAGCACTCATCTGAACACTTAAATTACTATGGCTTTCTACTCTTTAGAAATAACACTGTTCTTAAAACAGTACTAAGAAAGATCCCTGTGTGCTTTCTAAACTCTATAATACAGAATTACTCTCTGCAGACTCAGAAGAGAGAGAGTAGAAGGCTGTGAGCAGGAAATGGCTGCAGTAAGGAGCAGCACATGTTGCTGAGGTTTTAGGAATCCAGGTGACAAAAATGAGTGAAAGGAGCAGGAAGGAAGGAGGCTGCAAGAAAACAGAAAATCTCTTTACGGTCAGATATTTTGTTGATCCTGCGTGAAACTGAGAGTTGGACTCAATGAATCTTACGGGTCAATTCCAACTTAGGATATTCTGTGATTCTATGATCCCACAAGAGTGTACTGGAAATGTGAGTGGAAGTCTCAGTCACATAAACAAAGCAGGACAGAGATCCATCATTACAGAAATCCCTGATAACATCCATATGGGTTGGGAGGGTGGAAGCTCTCTCCTGGAAGGATCAGGGGATGTCAATTCTCAAAAACAACTACTAGTCAATATGTGTAAACAGGTAAAGCCAGAGTAAGCAACACTGGACAGAGTATGAAAGACAGAGTTGAGAGGGTTTGAGTGAACTACACAAAATACAAGAGGCATTTGTAGCACATACCTTCGAGGTGAAGCCACATTAACCGTCCTTTAACTGAAGTGATAGAAGCAACACATATCTCTGCAGGGTTCCTAGGGTTCACTGCCTCCAGCTTCATGTTCTTCGTAAAACCACGACTGAAGGATGTCTGAAAGAGCCAAGGACCAACAACAAAACACGGCTTTAAACAGACTGTCTGCTGGGAAGAACAACTTCAGCATGCTTTTTTCACTCTAAGTGAAGAACCCAAAAGCATCCAGGTTCAAAATGGAGATGCCCTGATCACACACATGGAAAGTCAGGGATAATGACAAATCAGGAAGCAATGCAGGAGGTTGGTGGATACAGATGGTGCCAGACATACTTACTGCCACTGCAGTAATCTGTATGCTTAAATATACAGCACCAAAGAAAGTCTTCCATGGGTTTTCTGAGGTCCCCACTGTCCTCCCCCTCTTCCTCAACAAAGGCAAAATCAGGTTAGATGTTGCTGCAATGGTTCCCAAATGAGTAGTCATCTCTCCAAATATGAAAAAAATGATAAAAAGGTGAAGTAATGAGCTTGCAAGAATGCAACAGCCCCCAGTGAATGAAGACTTCAGCAGCAAGAGAATCTGCAGTTCCAACCATTTAGGTACCACTGCTGTAAGAAAAAATGCCCTGGAAACCTGTTTCGGACTGAGGTTCCCCAAGCTACTCTTCATTAATTTCCATCCTTGACCTCCATCCCTTCCAGTGCCCTTTCATTTCTCTCTTAAGCTCCAGCATTGCTTGGACTGTCCCAGTCCTCACTCTGCAGTAAAAACTGCAACTGGCCAGCACTAAAGAAAAGCAGGGTGAGTTTGTTTAAATGCCTGCTACACTGCCTAACAAAGAAACATCATTTATCATCGCACAGGCTCCTTTCAGTGCAGTTCATTGCTGGAGGCTAATTTATACAGAATCAATGACAAAACAGTTAGCTGGGAGTTTATTTTACTAAGCATTTGTTCGTGTCAATCCATTTCATAACTGACTCTCCTTGTTAAACATCCCCCCTAGGGAAACAGCTACAGCATATCCACTTCCAGCACCACGTCTGGCTGCAGTAGGTGGAAAATGTGCCTGCAAAGAGGTTTCTGTTCAAGAGCTGTTCATAGGCATGAAACAAATGGACCAAACTGAACTTACTGGACAACAGTAAGATTACAGCTCTCTGCAGAGAACTTTGTTATCAACACTGAAAGAATAACAGACACGTGTTCATCTGATTAACGTTTCCTTAAAATAAACAGCACTTAGACCTGATTTAATCTTTGGAGAATATTACTCAGAGTCTACTTTCAAGGCTGCCAGCGCTGAGATCCATTACTTGACAGAGAGAAGGAAATAAAGATTGCTTGCACAAGGGAAGAAATGCAGCAGTTGTTCCACTGCATAGGTACGATGCAGCACTTCTCAATTTCCTTCTGCACTTTCAGCAATCTCAGCTTGAACTCCACAGGGTTTTGCACAGAAAGGCACAATAAATGGGGTAAAGAAATCTGAACCATGATTTGGGCAAAACTCTGTTGATGGTACCACTCTTCTGAATTCTGAATCTGCTAAAAGTGTTCAAATCCACCAATACAGAATCAATGGTTTATTCCAGACCAGGCTGCCCTTGGACTGCCACGGATGAAGAAATCCACTTGACACCTCCAAGAAACCATGCAATAACACAGCTGGAGTCTTGCTGGACTGTCTTCATTCTGCTTTTTCTAAATACACTGTCATTCAGTCTCATGACTGCTGAGTAGTAATTAAGGAGTATGCAGCTCCCCAAAGAATCTGCTTCCACAATTCACAACACTGCTTTCTTCTGCAAATCCTCCTGTGTTCACTTCAGATGCCACTGAATTTTCAATGTTTTAGTTGTTGATAAGACCTCAATTTGGATATTAGGAATAACTTCTCTGAAACAGTGGCTGGGCACTGGAATGAGCTGGCAGGGAGGTGGGGGAATCACTGTCTCTGGAGGTGTTCAAGAAATGTGGTGATGTGGTACTTAGGGACGTGGTTTAGTGGGCAGTATTGGTGGTAGATATGCAGTTGGACTGATCTTACAGGTCTTTTCCAATCTTTACGGTTGAAATTGATGATTCTATCTCAATTTGCCTCAGCTGATAGAAGCATGAAAATGAGGCTATTGGCAAGATAGAACATCAAGAGACTGGTTTTTTTAACCCAGCTTATGGGATTTTTTTAATAGCATTACAATTATTTTTAATGGTCAGTGCAGATCCCTCCTGGACTAAGCGCTGTACAAAACCAGAGAGAGATGGAGAGCAAGAAATCCAACTGATTTCAATGAGGAAAAGAGTAAGATAATATTTTTTCTATTTCAGAAACAGAAATCTGTAACATCTTTCTGGCTTCCTTCCTAAAACAAACTCTTGCTGGTCTGGGGAAAGCTCCCAAAGGCTTGCAGCTTTTCTGTGCAAGCAATCAGGTCTTGACAGGAGCAATGCAAAGGCAAAAAGAGAGCTTACGTTTCTAAAGCACAGGTGAGGTGCTGCCTCCGCTCCACATTGCTTCTGGTAATCTGCCCAGTCAAAGTCCTGGCCAGAGTAACCTGCAGGACAACAAAACAAAGTGTCATCAGCCACTGTCACAGAGAGAGTGCAAACGGGACCCAAGCAGACAACCAATGGTGTCTCAGCATCCCATCCCTTATGAGTGCTATGCGCAGTGCCAGCATGCAAGGTCACCACTGCTGGCATTTCTCCAGCACTCACTCACACAACTTCTGCATTTCCCTTTGAAATCTCCGGATCTTCACCATGAAGTAATAAAACACAGATATTTTCCTCATTTTCCCTTTCCAGTGAGCATCTCTCAGGCTTTAATAAACCTTTAATTACCTAGAAGCACTACCGTCCCCATTTTCTGGGTGGATCCATGGACCTCTTTCTCCATTCTTTAAGTACCTAAAAATTGGGACTTCAGGTCAACAGGAAGAGAATCAGCACAACCAGAAGCTGATCCATCCCTTCCCTTGTACCATGAGATAAATTCATCTCTCTTTTCACTGCAACAGCTGTACTCTGCATGAATGACTTTCCAACGGCTCAGAGAACATAAGCTGAATCCCACTCTAAGCATGTCACGTGAGGTCATATAGAGACCTGGAGCAGAACAGGAAAATGAACACAGAATTCTCAGTTCCTAAAGGCTTCAGAATAATGTGGTACTTAGGAAAGCGGTTTAGTGGGCCATATTGGTGGTAGCTGGACAGTTGGACAAGATGACCTTAGAGGCCTTTTTCCAACCTTAATGACTCTATGATTCAACCAGATAATCCTTTCAGCCTCTTGTTCTAAGGAAAAATGGAAGAGGCAGTAATTGATAGGGGGGTCACTCAAACAGTCCTATCACAGAGATCCAAATCCCTACTCCTCTATATTTCTTACCTAGCAATAAACTCTTGGGGCAAAGGGTTTTATTTCGCTGTTTGGTTTCACTGCTTGACTGATTTTAATCTGGTTTTTAGGATTTCCCAGTGCTTCACACCAATGAGTGCTATTCCCTATCCAGAGCCCTGGGATGATGCTGTAATAACATTATTGTAGAACTACTCTCACTGGAAAGTTTCAGGAGTCATCTAAAGGACAAATTCTCCCCTTAATCTCCCTGCCTGATATCTCAGACTGGACTCAATCTTACAGAACATCCCTTAATGTCTTTTTCATTGGCAGTCAAAAAGGGACAGTCAAGATCAGATGGGAATTAGTCATTTGTGACAGTGGAAACTGAGAATTTTTTTGTAGGCAAGAAAGGACGGCGCACTGAGTGGAATCACTTATCCATCATCCAGATCCAAAAAAGAGAAAACATTTTGAACATGAAGTCTTGAGCATCCTGCTAAGATGCAAGTATCCAGGATAAAACGAGCTCTACTCTTAACAGCTGCACTCACAAATGAGCAAGATAGAGAGGGTCCTAAAATATCTCTGCAGGGCATTTACGCAGTAACAAAACATAATACTGTTTGCAAAGCTAGAAATAAACACGCAACGAGAAGTGACAAAGGGCCATAACTGAATCTTCATTTTTCACATGAAAAATACCTAGCATCTTTTTACATAAATTAACAACTGATTTTTTCAACAGTACTGTCTTGTTTCTTCTCTGTCTACTTTTTTTTCTCTCTTGTTATTTCCTTGCCAGATACTTTCAGGCTTCAGAAAATGAAATCGAAAACAGGAGGAGAAGTGCACACTGCATCAGAAGGGGATCCATCTGATCGCACACAGGTGTTGGCAGTGTAGACACCTTGAGCTGGCTTCCCTGAAGCATCAATGGAGAAAGATCTACAGGTGATCTGCACGCCCTCCTTCAGAAGGAGCAGAATCCCTCTACAAGTCCCACTTGCTCTCCGTTGACTCTGAAAGCAGCTTTGGTAATGAACTCACATGGAGGCAGCCACAATGCAGATGTCTGCATTAAACAAACCTGGGCACGTCTCAGCTGCCAGAGTACACTGCTCACATGGACCCTAAACCCTGCCCACACTTTGCATGTTCTCAGGTCTCTGATGTAAACCCCTCGTGGACAGCTCCTCAATCTTGATTGAGAGCTGTGCAAAATCTTGGCAGAGTGGATGGAAAAGGCACGTTTCAATGAGGTATAAAAATCTGACTCACGTGTCACCATAAAACCAGCTGCTGGCTTGGCCCTGCACTATTCAAGGTGTGAGGTTCTTTGTAGACTTCTGTGGGAACAAAGCCTGGGAAGGCAGCAGTGCAGTTTACCAGAACTTCAGCAGCGCAACAAGGATTGCTCAAAGAAGGCCATACTCAAGAACTGCCATCAAACAAGCCTGGCCCTGTGTGTACCTCATCATGGAGCCTCATGATGAGAAGTAAATAGATGCTCTCATTAGCACATAATATTCACATATTGTCATCCTCTAAAGCTCAACGCTAGTAATAATGGTCAAAGCCTGCACAAATCTGCACAATCGTTTAAATGGGAAGGAATGGTTTTAAACCAAGACAGCGGAGGTTTAGATTAGATTATTAGGAGGAAGTTTTTCACACAGAGGATGGTGACACGTTGGAACAGGTTGTCCAAGGAGGTTGTGGATGCCCCATCCCTGGAGGCATTCAAGGCCAGGCTGGATGTGGCTCTGGGCAGCCTGATCTGGTGGTTGGTGACCCTGCACAAAGCAGAGGGGTTGAAAGTCGATGCTCATTGTGGTCCTTTTCAACCCACGCCACTCTATGATGGTTCTATGAATTACCTACTGCTCCCCAAATACACAGAACTTCACTGTGTCTGCTGTCTTGACTCTCAGCATTGAAGAGCTGTTTAAACCAGCAGTGTAATCAGAGTCAAATATAACAATACAAATGCACTGGAGGTTTAGAAACGGCATTTCTTTAGTAAGCCTTGTATTTAAGAGTGCTACTGTGGTATTTTTCCCCCTCTTAACAGTTCATGAAAAGGAACAACTACTACTCCAAAGGGAAGTGGTCAATAAACCCAAACCCAATAAATATAAACAGTGCTTGTTCAATGTTTGTACAGCAGCAGTAAATGGGTATTCATTTTTGGCACCATGCAGGAAAAATTGCTCTCTGTTTCTAGCAGCAAATGTTTGCACCTCCTGTTCATGACTCATCTACTGCATGTTTGGTTTCAACAAAGGCTTGACAGGCAAAAAGGCAAAAGAAGAGATATTAAAGAAATAAAGGACTTTGAACCCAAATATCCCAATTTGCAATACTATTCTGATGAAATAAAATCAATTAATTGTAAAATCAGACAACTCCCTACCAACCATTACTTAACCCCTCCCCCCCAAAAAAATACTAGAATACAGCAAAGACTCTATCCACGAAGACAAAAAGGACTTATGTATTTTTCCCCATGTCATCTGATTCTCCATGGGAATTTCTCTCCTTTCAAAAGGGAAAGCTATGTTTGCAGCACTAAATATTGTCAATATAGTCATGGAGGAGAATGGCCAAATCTGCACATTTAAAAAAAAGGAGCAAATCTGGACATCTTAGAGCAGTTATGATTGGAAATGGGGGAATGCCCTCCTTCTTTCTGGTCCCACTTCTAGACATGTTGCAGCCCTCTCCTGTCAGTCCTGACTGCTTCTTTATTGCAAGCTGATGTTACTCTTGTCAAAGAAGACCTCAGTGTGGTTCTGGATGCATTTCTTTTTCTATCTGCATTTTTTGGTGTGCTTTTTTGCTTGCTGGTTGTTTTTTCAGACATCATTCCAATGTTTAACCACTTTCATGACTCAAAGTGCATGTTTGCTGCTGGAGGAGTTTTTTGACCCAAAAGATCCTAAGACGCAGTTTAGGCATGCAGCCCTCATATACTCTGGAAGAAGCACAATATATTTTATGCCTCTATCTGCTACTTGATTTAAACCTCTTTTAATAGCTTATCTCCATAATTTCTGATCTGACAGCAGAAAGCAAAGGCTTCCTGCCCCTTTTGAGGAGCCAAGGTGGACCCCAGGCACTGAATATCACACCAGATACCTGCTAGCTGCTTAGCCTTTCCAGGACAAGTTGAAAATATCTGTAATGACAGGTGGAAGGACGCTACAGATACTTCTAATTATGCAGGCATTTAAATAGAGCTTGCATGTGCTTGCCCCATAAAACAGGTTTTGTACCAGCATGGAGTGGAAACTATTAAGCCATGGCCCTTTATATAGAAACGCTTGGTCTACGGTCTATTTGAGTTAATAAGGTGGCCCGGGGGAAGCTGCATGGGAACTCATGGTGGAAAAAACAAAATGCTGACCACTGAGCACTTACATAGTCACAATCTTTACACTTGGATTTAAGCAAGAGGAAGATAAACATCCACAGAGTAAATTTCTTTCAGTAAAAGCAACAGATTAATCACAGAAGCACTATATGCAGCTGCACACAGAGGGCTCCCAGACTTTGGTGGGAATTTCAAACTGCACATGCTAGATATATACATATATGTATATATCTTATATAAATTTAAGAGGCCTTTAAATCTGGCAGGGAATAGCCCTTCACTTCCTTGTTACCAGCAGCAGCATATTTCTTTCCAAAATGAAGACAAATATGCATGTACACGACTTCACGGGATATTTTTGTGAAGCATTTCTTCTCTCAAGCAATGTCATTTTTTGGCAGAAGTTTGACACCCTGACCAGAATAAAAAAAATTAACATTCCAGAAAGCCAACACATTTTGCAAGTGAAGAAATATTGCTAACACACTGCAGGTGGTTGCCTGAAATTGCAGTTAATTAACTCCACTGCTACAGAGATGGGAAATAGCACGGTCGGACGCTGTTCCTCCTGGCTCTGACCTGAGCACTGCTCTCAATTTGCCCTCGTCTGGGATTTTCTCGAGACAGGTAAGTAAAAATGCCTATGTGCTTCTGGGCAGGCAGATGAGAGCTAACTGGTGAGATACAATCTGAATCCAGGAGACGCTGAGATTTCCGTGTTCTCTGCAGCTCAGGGCTGTACCAATGGGGATGCTATAAGTGAAGCTGCCTGGTTCGTCTCAAACATAATATGACTCTTAATGCTCCTTCAGCAATCTGCACCACAAAACATCACCGAGATGTGTTTTACAGGAATTTCCTATGCCTCAGTGCAGTTTGCTTCAGACAGACATTAATCCATCAACAACACATTTGCAGAGATGTTCACAGGCTGTTATGAGCCTCAGTGGCTCAACAAAGATGCTCTGGCTGGAGATGCTTAGTGTGATGCTCTGCAGCAAAGAGCAGAATGGTTTTAAAGGCAGTAAAAAAGCTGCAAGCCATTGAGAAGTAATACCAACCCTTGGGCGGTGTGAGATTGACTCCATTTTTAAGGCACCACTGTATTGGCAAGATCCCTAAGGAATCCGCATGGCAAAGCATTGAGATTTTGCTGGGTTCAGATCTCAAGTCATCAATGGTCACTTGCAAATAATGATTGTTAAAAACCTAAGAGATGAAAAAGAAGAAAAAAATCTGATGTTAAATTTGCTGTAACACATGCAAACATAAAAAGCTGAAACAAATTGGAATCAAAGTGCACCTGAAACAACCCACTCTCACCTAACGCTTTACATCTGTGTTTCCACCAAAGATATCAAGGCATAGATGGGTAAACTGAGGCAAGAGAAAGCACCACAGTTCAGAGTCATTCAGTGTGCTTATAGCTGGGCAAGGACTGTAGACAGTACTGGAGACCCTACAGCCTTCCCTTCTCTTGCTTTTGAGGGTGTGGATAAGACACACAAGTATGCCCTCAAACCAGTTGTTTTATTTCAGACAGAATCACAGATGTGCAGGAAAAATATGTAGGCATGGAAAGAAGACTGGGATAAAAGGGATTCCCTTTATCTGCATGAAACTGGCAGATGAAATTCATAGGATGAATGCATGTGTTACCCAGTGATAAGTGCACATAAAGTCAACTAGTGATGCTCGTACAACAGAAACAACTGATGAAGAAGGGAACATTCATGGATATTTTCCTAAATGTGGTAGAAATCAGTCAAGAGGTTCTTAAACATCTTTTCAGCCCTCATTCATTTTTGGGACCCTACCTTAGTCACTGATGCAGGACAGATATGAAACGGTTCCCTCATATTCACCGCCTCCAACTTCATCCCCACAGTGAAGAAGTGGTTTCTCAAATCAGCATGGTCCTGAGGGAAAGAATAGGGAAGAGGGATAGGTGGTATGTCAGCATCAGCCATGAAGGAAGGCTCAACACATTGGAGAATCTATTTGAAAGGTGTTCAGATGGATCTGTCACCCAGGTGATTAGCAGATTGTCCACTGTCTCCGACTACATGCTCCTGTGCCTGCAGTGGGTGGAAGCAGGCCTAATTGCCTCTGATTTGTCCTAATGAATGTTAGGTTCTTCTATGGCATCAAATAAAAACCTGGGCTGGTTTTCATGTACCATAAGATGGAAAGGTCTTCTGTCCAACTGGGAGAATAAAGGTGGAATAAGGCCCAGGAAAATGAACTTGAACCCAAAAGGTGAGCAGTGAGAGAACCTGTCAGTGGAAAAATACACAGCTGTGTTCAGGTACATGCCTGTCACAATACCTTCATCCAGGATCAAACATGTCTATATGCAATAACGTTGGGCGATCAGGAGGATGCAGCACCTAACCTCAGAAACAACACAGGTTCAACTCCCTCACTTGCCACAAATGTGTTACATCTATCAAATGACCCCATCCTCATGTCCTTGTCTAACTAGCATACAGGCTAGCAACCTAATTCCAAAGTAACAATTTTATTTCACACTGAACCAGTGTAAAACAACATTTACATCATTTAGACCAATGTTGTCTAAATGACCCACGCATTAGCCAACACAACCAAAAAAGAAGAGCTGTTATATTTAAAGCACACACACACTGAACTCCAAAATAAATGCAGAAAGCTTAGTATCTAATAAGAGGCTAGCAATGTCACTCCCATCTACATTCATTGCTACATGTTGTATTCTTGTTCTAAAATGATTTTCTATTGATCTGAAGTTGTATGTCATTACACTTTCTTTCCTAAGAACTGTTCTCACTTGTAGACTTAATGACTTCTATTTTGGGATCTTACGTTCCTGGTGCCATTAGAGATAAGGATTTTTACTAGCTCCAATCAAAGCTAAAGGAATAGTTGTCTTCACCTTACCTTATCTTCGCGACTTTTCTGTGTCTTTTATGTGAGAACCAAAAAGCAGTCAAAAAAGCTTTCATAATGTCTTCAGTTTCACAGCAAGGGAAGTATATTCCAATGGGAAACTGAGGAAGACTTAGCAATAATGGGCCAAAACACCACGATGAACTAATGGCTGAGGAAGGAGCAGACATTCAGGAGTTTGGGTGTCCTGCAGTGCAGCATCAGCTGTACTTCCAGTTACTGGCAATTATTTCCGCATTACCAAAGTCCCAGCAAGCCAGGAGACTGATTTCTGGCAGTTTCACAACGTTTTGTTGAATAAGAGCTTGATTCAGGGAATTGAATTTGGCTCCTTGTACAGTGAAGCTGCTCAGTGTAAGCACTGCATTAAGGAAAGGTTATCAAAATTGCCATTGTTACCACTAGGAAAAGATAATGGCTGCAAAAATCAGGCCTCACCAACTGAACTTCCAACCTTCAAAGGCAGACAGCATCTAGACTGTAGGATATCTCTTCCCTACACAAGGATCCACATCCAGCATCTCTCAATCCTTGGGGTGAGGTTGTAAAGAAAAGGCAACTTTGCAAATCGTACATCTAGAAGCAAGCTTACACTGCAGCATCTTCCCATCAAAAGATCCAGGATTCAATTCACGCTCACATCCGGCTTCAATACATAATATGCCCAGATCTACCAAAGTACTTAATCATGTTTATCCTTAAACATGCGAGTAGTTTCATCAACTTCATACGTGATTTGTTGATTGAGATCAAAATACTTAAAACAGTATTACTTCTTATTTTCATTTGAGACGGTTTCTTTGGCTGGGCTCCTTTTTACTATGGCTTTTTTCAAAGGGAAAAAATAATCAAGTAGGAAAAATCATAAAACTAACAACATTTAACACTGTTTATTTTACTTGAAAAGCCTATCACCTTTTGTCCATGTGCTGTGTATCTCAGGATCAAATCTCCCTTCCCATTCAGCATACCATGTAAACATCTTTCTCATTAAATTAATAGCAAGAGTAAACTCCTGCAGAGAACCCATGGGATCTTCGGTATGTCTCCCTTTTGAGGGAGAAAATTCTCTTTTACTCAGGAACATACTTTTGTTTGGAGAAGGGCTGTGGAAGTAAAAAGCTTGTCTGTGTTAAATGTCATTTTTGAGACGGAAAAGCTTTCATGGAGAAAAAGCCTTGATATTGTACCGCCATGGCAAATGGTCAGGATCTGGATATTTGATCTCTTTCACATATTTGTAAAAGTGAAGCATTAAAATTGACTTTAAGAGCCTCAGATTTTTGCAGCTGCAAAAAGAAGAAAAAAAAAACTGATCCCAATGCCATTCCCCTCAGTCAGCAGGGAATTGCTGAGGATTTGGCATACGCTCCTCTTCAAAATTCTAATTAATTTACATAATTCCTAAGAATAGGTTCTACAGAAGCGAAGGCAAAGCTTTTAATTAGTATTAGACTCAAAGTGATACACTGGATAATGAACTGCACTTGGCTCCTGTTATTCACATTGACAGGAAAGACGCCTGTTAAATAAAAGCAGCTGCAAGATGAGGACTGAAGGGCTGAAGCTTTCCCTTCGCTCCCTCCAGAATCTGCAGCACAGCAAAAGCAACACCTGAAATGTTGGGTGGCAGAAACCAACCTTTCCACACTGCACACAGCGTTCAAAGCCACCTATCAGGATGTCACCAGACATTTATTTCCAGCCACTTTTCCAAGCGAGTTTGAATTTGCTTTCAAATGGAGTTGTACAGTCATTTGGAGCATTTTATAGCTTTGTGTGTGGTGGATCTCTGCTCCTGCTGGCTGGCTCCTGGTGAGGCTGCACCTCGAGCACTGCATTCAGTTTTGGGCCCCTCTCTACAACAGAGACTTTAAAGCCCTTGGATGTGTACAGAGAAGGGCAACAAAGCTGTGAAGAGTCTGGAGCACAAATCTTACGGGAGTAACTGAGAAAACAGGGATTGTCTGGTCTGGAGAAGAGGAGGCTCAGGGAAGCCTTACTGCTCTCCATAAAAAAATGAAAGGAGGTTGTGGAGAGGTGCTCCGAGGTAACTGTGAAAAAACAATAGGGAAAGTTGCACCAGGAGAGGTTCAGGTTGGATATTAGGAAGAACTTATTCTCAGGAAGAGTTGTGAGGCACTGGAACAGGTGCCTGGGGAGCTCATGGAGTCACCATCCCTGGAAGTGTTCAAGAAAAGGGTAGATGTGGCACTGAGAGACATAGCTGGCATGTGGGGATGGGCTGACAGTTTTACTAGATGATCTTAGTGGTCTTTCTCAACATGAATGGTTCTACAACTTAGTGCTTCACAGGAGCAGCTCCACTGCCACACACATTTACACCATCAACGAGCCTGCCTCACAAGGCTCACAAGCTCTGTGTGGGCAACAGAAACAACCTCCCAGTCCTCCCTGCTGGAGAGCAGCCAAGAAAACCAGTCTGATGCTGAGAAAACCCTTACAGCAAAGTGAAAATCATACTGAGGAACGTACAATGAATTAATGTGGTACAAGAACCACGCTCACTCATTCAAAGGGTCAAAATCTCTAACATGATGGATTACAGCCCACAAGGGTGCTTACAAGTAATGAATGGAAAACTGCAGAATCCTCCACTGAATGAACGTCTGCCACTTGCAGCCCAAACCCACAGGCAAAGCCAAGGCTGTCACAACTCTGACTACAAATCCCAAGAAGCAATTAAAGTCAGCCTCAGTCTTGCTATCTTAGAAGTTTTTAGACTTAAGGATGTAGTCAGTCTTTAAGAATGCACAGGTGTGGGTGACCTAGTTAAATCTTAAAAAAGTCACCAACTTCCTCTAAGCACTGGTCTTGAACTCAGAAAGATACACTGCAAAATCATCATAGTCATCTGCCCTTTTGCTCAAGCCTTTCTACACTCCACTGGGCAGAGCAGACAATACTCAGACCTAACTAAGTTAACCTAAATGGCTTTTGCCCATGGCATTTAGGGCAGCCATGCAATGGACGGTTGCTCTAGCTGTGACTACAAATCCAAACAAGGGCATCTCTTCCAGGTTCTGAAATGCTCACTCTTAGCCCACTCTCCTCAACATACAAAACGAGTCATCTCATTTCACACCCAAAAGCATGCATAGTGTATAGATAAGCAGAAAAGGCTCTAATTTGAACCCTGATTTTCAAATACCCCAAAATAGAGAGTTCTTTAGGTCCAGGATAATTCATGCACACCACTTACATGATTATGGCTTTGTACGAAACTCAGAACTAAGTCTGAGAAGTTGCAAAGTTGAGAGGCTGATCATTAACAGCAATTAATAAATGTTTGACCTGAGCTTCCCTTAATCCTCACCAGCTGCAACTGTGTGAAATGATATTGCCCTCAATCATATCTCTCCTGGTTTACCCTACTAGTGACAGAGGAGAAGTAGGTTCCATCAGGTATGACTGGAAACAAATTATTTAATTCAGTTTTGTTTTGAAAGAAATTGCTTCCGCCAGTGTCTTCCCTAATTCTCCCAGACACTGGCTGCTTCTGATAGCCTAATTTTAATCACAAAGCTCTTAGGTGGTAACCAGTCACAAGCACAGTAATAGCTGTGGTTAAATTGCCTCTACAGGAATCTGGCATTTGGTTTTCAATTGAGCAAAAAGAAAAAAAAAAAATAAAGAAAGAAACCCTCCCAACTGCAATCCTCTGCATTATTTGCAGAGGAATCGGTCTTGTCGTGATTCATCAGCTCTCCTTGCTAAACGCTGTGCAATTTTCCCTGAAGACACACTCTGCAGGAACACAGAAATTCTCCTGTAAGACATAACATAAGCAAATCTGCAAGCAAAAAGGTGAGTGCAGAAACACAGGGAGACCAAAATGTAGAGATGCGAGGTGGGATGAAGAGGAAAAGGCGATGGGAAGGAGGCTTTGAAAGTCCTGAGACCCTGAAGCAAGGAGCGTGGCAGCCAGCTATCACAGCTGCACCTACCGAAGAGCCCCTTAAACAATGCA